TTTTTTTTCAAATAAACCTTTTATAGTTTTTTAAAAATAATATTTTCTTTCTCTGTGTGTGATTTGGGTTTACATTTAAAAAGTATATTGGCTTTCAAAATAAAAAATTACAAAAAACAGTATATTGGCTTTCAATCATTCATGCACATTTTGTTCAATATCCATAATGCCTAATCATCTATATTATATTTCTCTGCACTCATCATAATAAGTTAGTATTATCTCTTTATTAATTTTCTACTCATCTTCCTCTCCTTGGCAACCATACTACAATGATTCCATGTGTAAATCTTTCTTCAGCTTTTCATAATGGTAATCTTATCAATATTTGTCCTTCTGTAACTGATTTATTACACTCAGCCTAATGTCCTCTGGATTCATCCATGCTGTGCAGTGTTCCACATATTCTTCATTGATTTTGTATTGTTTTGTTTTAAAATGACAAAGATTAATGTGTTTCATAAACAGGAAATAATAGAAAATACATAAAAAGATGAACAATTTTACAGAAGTACAATCAATGAGAGATAAACAAATTATACTATAGATAAAAAAAATTACACCCTCAGAATTTATAGATTTTGACTGTTAATCTGGATAGAAACTAAATACAGAGTGGGGAAGAATCAGAAGAAAATTAATGAAAGCATAAGAATCATGTGAGGCATGTTGAAAAACTCTTAAGATCTACATAATTTTACTAAAAGAGAAAGAAAATTTATAAGCTGAGGCAGAATTTTGGGAGATGATTGCTAATAATATTCCATACTGTTAAGTGCCATTAGCTGACTCTGACTCATAGCAACCTTAAATACAATGTGAAAGAGCCCCACTCAATCCTGTACCGTCCTCATCATTTCACTGTGATTAATCCACAGTTGTAATCACTGTGTTGATTCATAACTGATTAGAAAATCTCAAGGCACACATTCCAGAAGTCTAGAGACGCCTACGGAGAATTATTTCAAAGAAAATCAGACCTAAAACTGTTGAAAATCAAAGAGTAAAAGAAAGTATCAAAATAAAGAGACTTTTGTCGACATCTCACTAGTTATCCTTCTTTTTTTACAATGACGGTCCTTATGAAACTGAGTTAGTTTACTTGGCACAATGCTCTTCAGTCTGTCTCTTCCTCCTTTTCATTGTTTTTTAATGTTGCATAGTACTCCACTGTGTGACTGTCATTCTGGGTTGGCTGGTTTCAATATAGCCTAAAATTAGAATTGTTCCTGGAGTCTGAATTGGTAAATGGAACCAGGACTACAGAACAAAATGTGACTGAGGTGGTGGATGGTGAGGAAAAAGTTAAACAGAAGAAAAGTAAACGTAGAATATGAAGTGAAACATGTCTATACAGAGAAATTAGAACATTTGTTCCTTGTCCTACAGAGAGTCATGTGACAGACCACAGCCAATCTTTACCCTCCTGACTAAACACATTAATCCTAAGCCAAGATATCCAAAACCATTAACCTATGGTTACCATTTAGTTTAGAAATCTCCAATAACAGTATCCAATTGCACATTTGTGGTGATGGAAATATTTTATATATGTACATCCTGAACATTCTTGTAACCACTGACTACATGTGGCTACTGGCTGTTTAAAATGTGGTTAGTACCCCACAAGACTGACTTTTCATGTAAATACTCATACAATTTGTGGTTAATGAATTGGACAACACAGGGCTAGAATATAGGTCTGCTTTGAAACTTCACCATATTATTTTTTCCATTTAATAGAGTTTGCATACATGAATTAAATAAGATTTCATATCAGACACAGACAGTTCTTGCTGCCTTCCCATTTTGTGCTTCTTGCTTTTATAATTATCTGACTCTTTATCTGCTTAATGTTGCACAGAGCAACAGGGCTCTCAAAAGCTAAGCTCATTTTTCCTCACATAAATTTACTTCTATCCATTTCTCATACAAAAGTAAGTTCCACAGGATTTATATATTCAGTATTACCTTTTCTTTTTTTAAAAGTATCTAAATTATTTAATGCTACCTAATGAATTGCCTATCAAACATTATAATGTATATTCCTTTTATGTGTCCCTAAAAAACAAGCTAAAATCCCTTCAAACTCGCTTACAAAACTTGCTTATTGCTTTTCTTACAAAGCAAAACATATGCATGTACACATTTAGACAGATACACACACATACACACACACTGATAAAACCAAGTTAGTTGCCTTTGGGCCAATTCCCATTCAAGTCAATGTCTTGCGTGTCAGAGGACAACTGTTCTCCACAGAGTTTCAATGGCTATGATCTTACAGAAGTAGATCTCCAGACCTTTCTTCTGAGGTCTTTCTGGGTAAATTCAAACTGCTTATCTTTTGGTTAATAGCTTAACATTTAACTGTTTGAGACATTCATGGGCTGTCTCCTCTCTCTCTCTTTTTAAAAATTGATTTTAAGCATTAATAAACACTATGTTTCATTCATGTTCACTGTGTTTTATATAACCATTCATATATATTGTATTTTATATAGCTTATTACTTTTGGTCTACACCTATTATAACCTTGTCATTCCAAGTCCCTATCGAATCTTTTCTATTGCTTTACACCTCTCCATCTGCCCACTTGACCTCTGCTATTTCAGTTATTTCTCACCTTTTCCTTTCTCTGCCCCTCTTTCTCCCCTTCCCCTTTTGAACATTTACACATATCTTGCTCAGTATTACCCTATTTTCACAATAGTGGTCTTATGCAGGATTTGTCCTTATGTGACTGAATGATTTCACTCAGTATATAATGCTCTCTAGACTCTCTCATGTTACATAGTATTTTGCAAAATTGTTGTTTCTTAGTGCTGCATAGTAATCCATTGTGTGATTATACCACAGTTTCTCAATCTATGCATTTGCTGATGGGCATTTGACATAGACATATACACATATACACATAGGCACACACACATACATATGCACATGTATACCTGTATCTATCTACACACATAGATTACGCATAATATTGACCTTCCAAATACCAAATTCTTTATCTGTATTTCTATCTACCTAATTCTGGTTTTGTAAGGTGCTCTGGTAATCCACAGGCACTGCCTCTCTGGCTATTCAAATCTACCAGCTTCTCTGAGACAGAAAGATAGGCAATCTCCTCCCATGTAATATACATCTTCCAAAAACCTGCTGGAGGGTCAGCCAGAAGTCAGTTTTGACTCTATGGCAATGAGTGAACAAGTATATTCTATTCTTGAAGCTGTGTTATTATGCTGGTCGTAGATAATTGGATTAGAATTCAATTTCCCTATTTGAAAGTAATAGCTTTTGCAGCTGTTGAAAAATAGTTCTTCTTATTAAAAAAAGAAAAGAAAAGCTATTTTATGAGTTTGTTGAGAGGAACGGGCAGCACTCTGGTTCTGAAAGCAATTAGAACAAGGCTGGAGCACGCAGTGGTGCCCTTTCTGCAGAATGAAACACTTGTTAGATCTGCTTCTCGGGACACTCTGGGTTGGTTTACAAACTCCTTAAGAAACGGAAAGAGCTCATTGTCTTCTGAGGTAAAGTGAGCAGGGTTTGAGGATGAAAAGGCAGATGTATGTGTGAGTTAGGACAGTTGAATCCCAGTCTAAGAAAACAGAACTTCTTCAAAGAAGACAGCCACAGCAATAGAACCACAACAGTTCAGCTGTCTACACTGGCTTGTTTGCGGTGGTCCATAGATCTTTATTTTAATTTTATTCTTTTGAACGGTGTTTTGCTTTATTTTATTGAACACAGAGTTGCTGAGTTGTATGACTCAAAGACACCTAACAACATCAAAAAAATACAAAACAGGCAAGTGAACAAAGGTTGGAAGAGTTGATAATCCAGTGAGAAAAGTAGAAATTCAGGAGTTCATGTATAAATCCAAAGTTTGATAGATGGAATATTTATAACATTTGAAACTACCTCTCTGTAAATACTTAATGATAAAGGATATACTTGTATACTTGTTATTTTAAGAAGCCAGGGAAAATAGCCACTTTAATGTACCCCCTAAAAAAAAAAGCAAATAAAAAAATTTAACAAACTGATTTCAACAATCTATAAAAAGGTTGTTCTCACTGCATGCTCTTAGACAATTTTGATTTGCCACCTCCTGGTGATGCTCATTTTTATTACTTCATTCAAGTGGTCTGTATGTCTTTAAAGCATTAACAATCACAACACCACTCACCACTCAGCCTCCAACACTGTGGCAAATTTTTACTTCTACAGGCATCACCTGTTTGTCAATATTCAGACACCAACAAAGCCAAACCCCCTGCCATCAAGTTGGTCCCGACTCGTGGCAAGACTACAGGCCAGAGAAGAACTATGCCTTGGATTTCCAAGGCTGTGCATGCTTACACAAACAGGTACCCAAAACTGTCTCATCTTTCCCACTGGAGCAGCCAGTGGGTTCGAACTGCCAATGTTGTGCTTAGCAGCCCAATGTTTTCATCGACTGAATCACCAGGGCTCCTCAGAATTCAGACAGAAGTATAAAAAGAATGGAAATAAACAATGGTGCTTAATATCTAGATAAATTGCTCCTTCAAATATGTAACCTCTATATTTGGTTGTTAAACTGTCTGGCAGACAGGTATGCAAAGAGTCTAAACAGTAACAACAAATTACCCCCACAAGGACCCCACATTAGAGCTCTGAGTCTAGAAATATCTGTGGAAGGAAAATTTAGAGTTGGAAGTTCAATATTGTGCCTATATGTGTGTGGATATAAGTATAAATGTGATGTGTGTGTGTGTGTGTGTGTGTGTGTGTGTGTGTGTGTTGATATGTGTACATGTGAAGTTAAAGAGACAGAGTGAGACCATGACTGGTTCATCTTTCTTCCACAGGATGACTGCTGGATTCGAAATCCTGACCTTTTGGTTAGCAGCCCAACATATTATGCACTGTTCCAGCAGGGCTTCTTATGAAAAGGGCTAGATGCTAGCAAACAACATCAACAGGAAAGAGAAGACGACAGCATCTGTCCATACCTCAGCTTCCTGCAGGGTCCCGTGGTTTAGGCACACCGTGTCTGGGCATGTGATGGGAGATCCACATCCTTCTCGGATTGCCAGCTGCATATACTGTTTCAGGCACTAGAAGGAGCAAGCAGACAGGCCATTCATTACCCACCACTTACAGAAGCACAAAGGTTACATAACCCTACCACCACGGCCTCTTCTTCCTTAATTGGCAGTCCCGGGTTGCCTGTACTCATGGAACATAAGTTATCACAAGTGTGAACACTAAGAGCCATTGCTTTGGAAAGAATGCAGAGATGAGCGATTAATTATGTATGACTTCATCTTAAGAGCACTGAGTTTATTCAAGGCAGCAAGTCAGATTCCTGTTTTTGTACATATTTTCTCCACCACAGGTTGGGAAAAGACATTAAAAAATAAAACAAAACACTCTTTCATACTGATAAAAGGTTTCTTTTTTATTCTTCCTTTTAAAATCTTAGGTGACTTCTCAATTATGTTTTTCCCAGTGGTCCTCCTCCTCAATATTTGCATAAAAATTTACCCTGAGCTGACTTTATCTAGTGATCCTCTTAAAAGGTAACTTAATCTGGAAAAGACAGCGTCAAATTTGAGGAAGTAGGTGACGTCATGCTGTGTGGGGTAGCAAAGACAGTTTGGATGATTGAAACCTTTTCAAAAGCATGGGTCTAGCTTGATCAGTGTCATGAGGAGGAGAACTGGGTAGAAGAGCATTTACTGGTCACCCTGGGGAGAGAAGAAATTGGATAGTGTAAAAGTGGCATGGCAGGACATTTGATTTCTTCCTCTAACTTAACAATGGAGAGATAACCACCATCAACCTCACCCCACATGGGAGCTCAGGACCATAAGGGGTGGGGGGAGGCATCAAGGCTTATTAGCATTTGCCTACAAAGCCATAATTCTGCATTCCACTTTAGTGAGTAGAGACTGTGATCTTAAAAGCCTTTAAGTGATCACCTAAGACCCAATTAATAGTCTTTAACTATCTGGACCAAAGAAGAGTAGAGAAAACAAAGACTATTTCAATCAAAGGGCTAGTGTACTCAAACGCCAGCACCAATGGCTAAGGCAGAAGATAGTGCTGGGCTACCACTGCAGATCACGCTGAAATGAATCACAACACAAAGGCCTTGACTGAGTGGGAGAAAATGTAGACCAAAACTCAAAATCATTCAAAGACCAGGCTTACCTGGTGGAACACCCAAGACTATGGCCCTTAGTCACACTTCCTGCCTGGAATTTAACCTGTGACTCAACTTTCAGTCAAACCAATATACAGGCCTATAATTTAATCAGTTAACAACTAGGCAGGAATGTACTCTTTAAAGCAAAGAACCATGAAGGTTCAAAAAGGCAGTATTTGCCCAGAGATAAAGCTCAGAGGAAGGAAAGGATAGAAAAGAGGGGCAAATCGATAACAGGAAACAGGGAAGGAGGAAGAGGAACATAGTTATACACATCTGAAGAAACAAAACTCACATCAATCGTTGAATAGGCAACTATTTCTTTTTCCACTTCACACAGAAACCCATTAATTTGTAAGCTTTCATTCAAACCATAATAAAAAATTATATATGTGTGTGGTGGTGGTGGTGGTGTTGTTGTTAAGTGTCATCACAGAACAAAAGACCTGAACACTTGTATAACTTTGGTCATTTCTCCATGTTCATAGAGTTTCCAGAGGCAAGCCACTTTGGAAGTTGATGCCACTCCTGCTTCCAAGCTTGTTTTAATCAGGAAGCTCCAGCAAACACTGTCCACCATGGGTAACCATCACATTTGGCACATCAGTGTCACAGTGTTTCGCATCACAGCAACCACGAGTTACCTCTGTACAGCAATGCCCAGACCAGTGCTATACCACTTAGAAGAATGTTTGACAAAAGCAATTTAAATCAGGCCTGAGGGCCACAGACTAAAATCTAATGGGTTTTTAAATAGGAGGCAGAGTCACAGCATCTCACTCCCCTTAGTGAATCAACATTCCACCCTAACGCTCACCATTCCCAGCTAACAAGCTTTTGTAGAACCCAGCTCTTGCAGATGACTTTCAAGCTGGATTATATATAAATTTGCTCAAGGCTGATCCCTATGAGATAGGACCAAATCAATTCTGACACCTGATGTCCCTCCCACACCCTGCTTTGCAATAGCCACTAGAACTTTTAGTCCATAGGTTTTATTAGAGAAGTAATAAGCTACAATTCAGGAATGATTCAGGATGTAGCTCTTTCCTCATGACATCCCATTCTCAGTAATATCCACAGGCAGGCCTCTGGCCTTGGCCCCTAGGTCTAACTTCTGGTAAATGTTATAAAACTCTTTAGCTTTGCCAATAAGAAGAGCCCAGGGCACCTCACTCCACCAGCAAGGCTCAACCTGAAAGTGTTCAGCTCTTGTGCTCCATGGTTCAGAAAGTCTAGCTTCATGAATAAGTCCCCCTAAGGCACCTCAGTCTGCCAGGAAGCCTCTTGGTCTCTGGGTCAGCAACTCAAGCTCTGCTAACAAGTGAGGCACCGCACTCTGCCAACAAGTGTCCTGCCCAAAGACACTCAGTTCTCTGGGGCCAGAAGTTCCACAACCCGGAAGTCAATCTGGGATTTAATCATCAGTCACCTGGTAAACCAGATGTATTGTCTCTGGAAACTCTGAGAGTTTATGAATGGAGTCCAATAGCATCAGACTAGAACAGCTTATTTCTAGACCCTCTTTCCATAGTTAGTTTATAGTGGTGTTCTATCTATAAGGGTTTTAAACACCAGAACAAAGTTCTTGTATTACTCATTTAACCACAAAAAATTAACACTCACTTTCACTGTGTAGTGAGCTGTTCATTCTCAACCAGGTCTGTCTCTCTCTCTCTCTCTCTTTTTCTTTAAAAGAACTGAGTTCTGATGATTAAGGTTGAAGCACAAACTCTAAAGCTGCATCTGTATATTGGACAAGTCATTGACCTACCACTTTCTCAGTCATAATATGAGATGAAAATTTCCTACCTACTCAACTCTTAGGGAGCTCTGGTGCCTTCACGGTAAGGAGTTGAAACGCCAACTAGAAAGATAGGCAATGTCCTCCTGTGTGATTTTCTGCCTCTGAAAATCAGCTGCAGAGTCAGCTATGAGTTAATTCTGCCTCTAAGGTACGCCATAGCAAGCCTTTCAAGGAGTTTTGGTAAGAAGTTGTGCTGTCAACACAAAGGCACACACTTCAAATTCACCAGCTGCTCTAAGGGAAAGATCTGCAAACTCCTCCCATGCAATTTACAGCCTCTCAAAATCTGCTGGAGGTCCAGTTATGAGTTGATTCCAACTTGATGGTACATAACAACAACATCCTAATCTCAGGACGGGAATTCTATGAGCATAAATATAATACTCTGAAAGTGTAAAGTAGGTATGCAAATGTAGCATATGATTGAGCAACAGAATAGATATTGCTGAGCTCTACACCAAAACCGCAGCTGCTGTCAGGCCAACTCTGACTCATGGTGACCACAGCTGTCAGAATCGCGCCACTGGGTTTTCAGAGGCTGAGTTTTCATAGTTCCCCAGGATTACCTTCTAGGACTTGAGTCTCCAACCTTTGCTTAGGAATCCAAGCATATTAACTATTTTGTACTACTCGGGGGCTCTACTTTGCCAGGTAGGAACACAAATTGGCAGATTTAAAAAAGAACATACACGTGCAGGTCCAAAGAAATTTGGACAAGTGAGGATTCTGACACCAACAAAGACAAGTGAGGATTCTGAAACCAACAAATAAACGTGGTTGATGGGATCACAGGGTTACTGCTAGCCCAGTGGAACTCAGGAATGTCAAACTCAGAGCCTCATATCATGAAAAAGTGATTTAGCTGAAACGAAACAACATCCAGCACTCCAATGCTGTTAACTTGAAGTTTCCTATAACTTTTGTTAACATTTAGCACACAAATTTATTCTAGTTCTTATGTTGTTTTAAGAGATATAAGTCTAAATATGCTGTTCATCTTACATTTTATTTGTATAAGTTTAAGTAAGACTACAATAAAAGTAATTTTAAAGTAGCTCATTGTTAAAGTTCCAGATATTTCCCTCTTCCAACAGAAACCCATTATTCCATCAAAATAAGTGGGAACACTTCAATTCTCAACACTAGAACAATATATTCAGAACCTGACTGTTAAAAAAAAAACAAAAAAACCCAAACCCAAAAACCCTTCATAAACAATACTATAATAAAGAAGGTCTGAAAGCTTAGTGGTAAGAAGTTTCTCTGCCAACCCAAAGCAAGTGGTTTGAATTCAGCACAGAATAAAGATAGGCAAGCTCCTCCCATGTGATTTACAGCCTCTTAAACTCCCCTTGTCAGCTATGAGTCAGTTCCAACTCAATAACACATAACAATAACAACACAACCTTAAATCATGTTCATTGAGTTGGAACTGATCCTCCAGTAAGTTTTCAGAGGCTATAAATTACACTGGACAAAACTGCCTATTTGAGAGAGAGAGAAAAGCTGGTGGATTTACACCAATCATGGCAACAATTCTGACATCCCCTCCAGTAGAAAATCCAACTCAAATCCCTTTTAATTGAGTTGTTACTGCTTCATAGTGACCCTATAGGACACTTCCTCAGAGGCTGTCCAAGGCTGTAAATCTTTATGGAAATCAGACTGTTGTTATACCTTCTTCCCAAAAAGCAGTTGGTCACTATATGGATTCAAACCAGCAACTTCAGTTTAGTATTAAAGTGCAAAGTGTGTGTGTGTGTGTGTGTGTGTGTGTGTGTATGCCATGAACTGTGCAGAATTTATTCCCCTATGTCCCGGGTTAGTGTGAACATGACTCTCTCCAATAGTCCCAGAGTTCCATTGGGATCTGGATCAAGGGTTGTTCCTTAAAACCTTACTGTTCTTCAAAATCTTATTTGTCCTAGAAGTTTTAATCCAGGATCTGACACAGGGAAACATTCAGACCTCTGTGGGAGCTAGAAATCTACATCTGCCACTTAGCAGCTCTGAAGCAAAGTTCCCTCTGCTACCTTGATCTTCTGTTTCTGTGGGTTTGCAATTCAAGAAAGTCACAAAGACAGAATCACATAGAAGAT